GACAAGGGTTAAGGTTTAGGGTTTAGGGTTTAGGGTTCTCGCAGCAAACAGGTCTTTGAGTGGAGAGGACGTCTCTCTCCCACCATAATACAGGGGCCTTAATAACTAGAGCAGGGTTTGGGGTATATTATACCAAAATCATAACAAGGAGCCCCCAAAACCCTGTTGTAATTATTAAGGCCCCTACATTAAGTCTCCGGTGTTGTGGGAGTCTAGGATGCGGAGTTGTTGACTTTGAGGAACGACCTTGCTGTTCACATGTTGAGAGGCTGATGGCTAAAGACCTGGACCCATAAACCCTAAACCCCTAAATGGAAAGAGCGGATCCTGTGAGTCTTCGCTCTGGCAGCGCTGATCAGCTGACAAGACAAAGCCTCCGGATTGTTGGAATATATTATATAGGAGCCCTAATAATTAGAATAGGGTTTTGGGGTATATTAATAATAAGGAGCCCCAAAATATTCTTGACAATTAGTTAGGCATTACCAGAACTTCTAGATTCTAGCACACGGCTTCCAAAAGCACTGCTATCGCTGCTGCCGCAACGGCTATTGACAGTGCTCCCTCTTGCCACCCTACTGCTCCTCGTCCTACTCCTGCTCCTGCTGCTGCTGCTGCTGCTGCTGCTGCTGCTGCTATTTCTGCTGGTTCGTCCTACTCGCGCCACTACAACCACAACAGCTACAGCCACAGCACAGCTACTATACAGTAGTAGTACTGCTCCCTACTCCTATGCATTCCTCCTCCTCCTCCTGCTCTTCTCTGCCGGCTCTCGTAGACAATTCTAGTCCGAGCACAACTGGCCACTGCTGCCCTCAAGTCTGAGCTGAAACGGCGTGCCTTGGCTTTCCGGCTGCTTTGCCTTGAGTTTACAAAGCTGGACGTGCGTAGTTCTCTAAATTAGGGTCTCTTTTTTGGTCCCCAATATAGTACGGCACCCTTATAAAAAGGACCTAAAAATACTAAAAAGGGCCCCTAATTTGGACAACTAGCCACGTGCAGGACATGTCGGATTGAACGAGTTTGAGACGCTGGGGCGCTGCAGGGCCTTTTAATTAATGTAGGGGCCTTAATAATTAGAATGGGATTTTGGGGTTCAATATTATAGTGGTAGTATAATATACCCCAAACCCTATTCTAATTATTAAGGCCCCTACATTAGGCCTTTGGGGGTGTTTTGTTGTTGATTGTAGTGTCGTCGTAGATGGGACTGATGACGAATGATGATGTCTAGTGCTGGCGGTGATGAATGATAGGATCCCCGTAAGGCAGTTCTGTAACTGTGACTGAAATTTGTGAGTTTCTTGCTGACACCTCTCCTGAGAATGCTCGTCGAACGACTTGAACCCTATACATCTTGAAGGCAAGAAGGGCGGAGAGAGCTACCCATGTTCGTGGACGATGTCAAATCAAACACGGCACCCTGCTAGTGTACAGACTATGAAGAACGCTGTCACAGATGCTTGCTCGCAAAGCATGCCGAAACTCCAACATCTGCACCAATCCTCCGAACGATATCCCTAAACCCTAACTCCCAAACCCCAAAGCATCAAACCGTCATCCCCCCTGCCCGACAACTAGTCACCTCGGCCTCTCCTGAGAGTGCGGCCTGCATAGCCTCCGCTTCTGCAGCCTTGCTAGATCAATCAATGTAGGGGCCTGAATAATCAACATGGGGTTCTGGGGTTATCAAGCTGACATGTGGCTCTGCCTTGTGTCTGCGATATGAGGAAGATGTCTTCCGTGAGATCTCCTAAACTTTGACTCACATGTCCGCGGGGGCAGAGCTCTTGTGGCTCCGCACTCTGCACCCCACAGCTGCTAGACCTTGGGTGCCTCCTTTCGAAAATCTTCGCAAGCACAAGTGAACGACAGACAGCAGCTGCTAAGTTGTCTCTGGCTAGCTGAAACCAGATGCCCGAGAAGAGGCACATAGAAGACTCGATTTGAGCGCTCGCAATGAAAGCAACAAGAATTCAAAACACCGCTTCAGAGTAGACTCACTCGTATCGGTGTAGGAATGCCGCCAGTGGATGTGATGCATATGAGTACTCTTGCCTGGGATCTATGAAGCCGTTGATTCGCACGTCGGGTTGCCAGAACTGTTGTGCTAAGTCCAAGATCCGGGAGTGCCGAAGCGACAGGTCCACATAATAAGATTATGCCGGTGCACAGCAGTATCGGACGAGAATGGTCTACAATGGCATGAGTAGCCGTGTTGTGATCCCCTATGCCGTTCAAGATACGAAGCTCGCCAACCTCGGAAGCACCTGAAGGAAGTAGCCCCACCCGGCCTTCCTGGCACGATCCCTGGCGCTGGGCGGAAATCCAAGGAGGGTTATTGAGAGATAGGTTTTTCTGGCAACTGATTTGCACGGTCGCAAAGTCCATTACACAGATATACAGTGTGTATATATATATATAGTCTTGAAGACGATGTAGTACCACTCGGGGTTTTCGAAATCCCTTCGTGGCTGGAGCAGAGCCACCTGAGCCCGAATCCTCCCCGCGAAGCCTGAATCCAAGACTTCGTCCCTAAACTCAAACACCGGACACCACAACCTGAAATTGTGAACCCTAAACTTAAATACCCTGAAACCCTAATTAAGAAGCTCTAAGCCTCAAATGCCGGACCCCACAACCCAAAAGCCCGGAGGCCCCTCAGAGACATAAAAAGTACCCCACCAAACACGGTAAACTCTGAACCCTAAACCCTAGAACTAGGGTTTATAATAGGGTTCCCTTTAAGGGTACTATAGGGTCTAGGGTTTATAATACAGCGCCAGCACTGAATAAGAAAACATTGAATAAGAAACCCAGCCCCTGAATTTGCGCGGACCTATAC